CCCCCCCCCAAAAAAAAAAAGAAAAATGGATGCATAGCGAAAATTAATTCGCTATCACGTATTCACGTGTATTATATATACATTATCATACAATTTATAATATCATAATTTATAAAAGCATGTAATTTATAATGCACTACCATATCGGTGATGTTTTGCTAAGATCATTTGTTGGAGATATAACTTACAAACCTTAAATTTCGCAAAACAATAAGCAGAAGAAAAAAAAACGTATTTGGAGAAAAAAAAATGGAGTTTTTTTTTTGTGAAAGAAAAAATGGAGTTATTAAGCCGTATAAAAAATATAATAGACATCAATATGGTTAACGAGAAGAAATAGGAGTCTTGAAACGCAATTTCACATGGCGTAAAAGCACGTTTGTTACAATCTGACAACAAAAGCTGCAGAAGCAAGAAATCCAATACCAAACCTCAGCATCTTCCCGTAGTAATTTTCAAACTCTTCCCCGATAAACCCTGAGGTCCAAAATGCAATTTGTTTGAAAAACAGGAGAGAGAGAGAGAGAGAGAGAGAGAGAGAGAGAGAGGTCAAACCAGAGAAGATGCAGAGCACAGAACAAGAACAGAGAACGAAGAACAACGGCGCGTCGCAACCTCTGATCTCATCGTAAAACCCAATTCTCATCTCTTCAATTTCACATAATCGAAAAAAAAGGAACAAAAGAAAACACCCTCTATGAGACCAGTGTTCTTGTCCTTGTTCTTGTCCCTTCATCTCCATGTCCTGTTAGTCTCCTCCATCTCTTTCACAGAGTTCGTCTTCCCCAATTTCACCGCCTCCAATCTCAAGTTCGTCGACAGCTCCCAGGGAGCTTTCTTGTTCTCTCGCAATGCCACCTTCAAAGCCGGCATGTTCAGTCCACGTGGCGACGCCCCATCAAACTTCTACTTCTCCGTCGTCCACGTCGCTTCCGACATAATCATCTGGTCGGCGAATCGCGACTCCCCTGTTTCCAGATCCGGGATCATGAATCTTCTGCCGCAGGGAATCTCTGTCTCCGAGGATGATAAAAGTCAAACAGTTTGGTCAACGCCGGTTTTGCCCTCTCCGGTGTTCGCCCTCCGACTGATGGATTCCGGGAATCTGGTTCTGCTCGATCGATTCAACGTCTCTCTCTGGGAGAGTTTCGGGTTTCCGACTGATACCATCGTGGCCGGACAGAGACTTCCTGTAGGGATGTTCCTGTCGGGATCTGTTCAAGATGGAAACTTTTCCACCGGAGATCACAAGTTTTTGGTCGGAGAATCTGATGCTCTGTTACAGTGGAAGGGACAAACGTATTGGAAACTAAGGATGGACACAAGGGCTTATGTGAATATGAATTTCCCCGTCGAGTATCTGACAATTACAAGAAACGGTTTGGTTCTTATGGGTCGGAACGGAACATCTGTGATCATTCAGGTTGCTCTTCCACCGTCTGATTTCCGTATGGCGAAGATGGATTCTTCTGGTAAGTTCATCATCAGCAGATTATCAGGTCAGACGATGGTGTCGGAATTCGAAGGTCCCGCAAATTCGTGCGAAATCCCGTCTGTCTGCGCAGGAATCGGATTGTGTCACCTCGAAAACGCATCTGAAAACCCTATCTGTTCATGCCCTGACGAGCTTCACTTAGATACGGACGAGTCCACTTGTGTTCCGAACGACTACTCTCTGGCTTTACCGGTTTCTTGCGATACAAGCAACTTATCCTACCTCGATATCGTCGTCGGAGTTTCCTACCTCTCCAATCGATTCGTCTCTCCTGCGCAAATGGGTTTCAACCTGACCTCCTGTCAAGATCTTTGCAGCAGAAACTGCTCCTGCCTCGGGGTTTTCTACGAGAATACATCCCTTTCGTGCTATCTGGTAAACAACGCGTTCGGTTCTATGTCTCTTGAACAGAACTCAGCCGATAACCAAGATCTTGTCGGGTATCTTAAGTTGACGATCAAGGAACATTCTAAGGATCGCAGGAACGATATATCTCATAACGGATCGGGTTTTCCATTGATAGCTCTTGTCCTCTTACCTTGCACAGGTTTCTTCCTTCTGATCACCTTAGGGTTTCTCTGGTGGAGAAGATTTGCGGTAATGAGGTACAACAGTATACGTGAAAAGAAATCATTTCAACGTGGATCGTTCTCTTCTGGAGACCTGGGATCGTTCCGAATCCCGGGTTTGCCTCAGAAATTCGAGTATGAAACCCTCGAACGAGCCACCGATAACTTCCGCACCCAGATCGGGGCAGGAGGGTTCGGGTCGGTCTACAAAGGAACACTCTCGGACAACACAATTGTTGCGGTCAAGAAGATCACGAACCTCGGCGTCCATGGAAGGAAAGAATTCTGCACCGAAATAGCAATCATCGGCAACATCCGACACGCAAATCTCGTGAAACTACGAGGGTTCTGCGCTAGGGGCCGACAGTTACTTCTGGTCTACGAATACATGAACCAGGGCTCACTAGACAAGACCCTCTTCGGGGCAGGTCCAGTCCTGGAATGGCAAGAACGTTTCGATATCGCCTTAGGAACGGCTCGTGGTCTGGCTTATCTCCACTGCGGATGCGACCAGAAGATCATCCACTGCGATGTCAAGCCGGAAAACATTCTCTTACACGACCATTTTCAGGCTAAGATCTCGGATTTCGGTCTGTCAAAGCTATTAAGCCAAGAAGAATCAAGTCTCTTCACGACAATGAGAGGCACTCGTGGGTATTTAGCCCCTGAATGGCTAACGAACGCAGCCATTTCGGAGAAAGCCGACGTTTACAGCTTCGGGATGGTGTTGCTGGAGCTCGTGAGCGGTCGGAAAAACTGTTCTTTTAAGTCACATAGCCACAGTTTGATGGAGAACAGACAAGATCATCGTGATCATAGTTCATCTTCCTCGTCGAGTACCGGTCTGGTTTATTTCCCGCTGTACGCGTTGGATATGCATGAACAGGGGAGGTATCTGGAGCTAGCGGACCCCAGGCTTGAGGGTCGAGTGACGAACGAGGAGATCGGGAAGGTGATTCGGATAGCGTTGTGCTGCGTTCATGAGGAGCCGGCGTTGCGTCCGACAATGGCTGCGGTAGTCGGGATGATGGAAGGGAATATTCCGGTGGGGAATCCGAGGATGGAATCTTTGAACTTCTTGAGATTCTATGGGTTGAGATTCGCGGAGGCTTCGATGGTGGAGGGGCAGATCGGAGAGAGTGGGGATCTGGTTTTCCGGCGAGAGAGCTCCAACAGTGGCGGTTCCAGGAACTCCTTGTCTTACGTGGCGTCGCAGCAAGTGTCTGGGCCACGATGATTTTTTTTTTCCTCTCAAATTTTAAAACTTTGTTTTTTTTTTGTAACTGCTGCGATGATTCACATGTTGGTTGATGGGCTTTTGTTAATATTTTGATCTTGTTAGAAAAATACAAATATCCATATCAAACTTTATTTTTAAGTATGATAATGTAATATTGATATGAGATTATTATTATTACCCGTTTTTATATCTGAATCTTTTGGACTATATCTTAAATGAATTGTTGGTCCAAAATGTAAATAAATAAATAGTGATGCCTAAGTTACATTAATATATTCTTCGGTTAAAATTGTAACCCATTGTGTGCGAGCGAGACTGATACTAGACGTAGGTGACATATACACGTGGAAACTCTTGTAAGGTGAAGCCATTGTCATTCTCCAATCAGGATTTAACACGTGGAATATCCACGTAGGTGCTATTCCCTTGTTCCACGCCCGAAAACGACGCCGTGGAGATTCGAACTGGAAATATAAAGACCCTATTGCTTCGTTGAGAATCGCAGAAAAAAAGAAGAAGGTCAATGGCGTACGTCGAAGGAGGTATTGAAAACTTTAGATATCTCTCTATCTGTTCGAATTTTGTTTGAATTTTCCTCTCGATTCGGTTATTAGGATATCACTACGGTTTCCGGCTTGATTGTTCGTCGTTAATCATGTAATTTTATCTGGGATCATCAAGTTCCGATCCGGTCTCAGATTCTGTAAATGCAATCATGCGTTATTTCATTTTAAATTCTTTATCAAGACGGGAACATGCGATCGGTGATGAGTGTTGTATTCTGTATTGAGTTGAGTGAGGGTTTACTTTCGAGATCTATGGATGTCGATCTTTCCAGGTTATAAATTTGAATTTTGAACCAGATTCCTTTTCGTGGGATTTCTGTGTTATGGGGATTCGTAATTCGTTAATCGTGATGTTCTGTAGAAACAAATGTAGAAGAAGGGCTCATCATCTTTAGAGCTGGTTGTCTGAAAGAACATATGTGGATTGAAAGCTCACGATCCATCATCAATGTCAATGTAAATCATACGAAAAGAGGGATCTACTTTGAGTGAATGTTATTGTGAATGATAGCCTTCTAGAGCTGATTCCGTTTCAAAGAACGTGTATGTGAATAGAGACCATGCGTCACATTAGACGTAGCTGGAGATGATTGCTGGAAACAGATCAACATGAAGTGTGTATTTGACAATTTAAAACTTGTGAAACCATCTTTTCAGGTGTGGTTAAATCAAAGCGGTCGATATGGAGACTTCGGACAATCACAGATTTCTTCTGGTCCATCATCAATGTCATACAAGTCTTCTTTATAACCATGTTCTCGGTAGGATTCTACTTCCCTTGAATATGTATAGCCAAGACATCGAAGCTTAGTGACTAACCAGAGCTATGACTATTTCATTCTTCAGATGGAAAAATCAGACAATTACAGAAAAGGCTTAGGCTCTAGCAAGAAGTGGGATGGTGGAAGTGGAGGTGGTGGTGGCAGCGGCGGTGGGGGTGGTGGGCCACCTCGGCCTCCTCGTGGTGGCCTCGACAATGTTCGTGGCCTGAGGGATATCAATGGAGCTGACCACAGTAAGTGCCTCTCATTCCAAAATGGACATCTTCATCTTGTTGCTTTCTTTCCTCAAGTTTTAAAACAACATTGGATTGGACACATGATCCGCCATAAACCCAGGTTGAAAACTGCCGTCAGATTCATGTTTCGACCGAGATTTAGATACGGGTTGCTAGAATCTGTATCATTCTACTATGTATTCTGTTCGATGAATACGAGGTTTTAAGCCCGAAATCGTGTTTTTTTTTTTTCAGGTTCCCTCCCGGCGTGTGGCTCCTGCTGTGGTTGAGTCTCGGTGTTTTGGAAATGTGGGAGATGTGAATATAATGGTGAAGAAATATATGTGTGAAACTTGAGACATTGAATAGGAAACAAAATAACCGGTCGGTTTGTATTGTAATTTCACGTTGAGTCAAGGATCCTCAAGTGTCTTCTCTTTCCATGGAGACCGTTATTGTCCAGATCAAATACGGCACTCATGAGTCATGTCTGAATCACAAAACTGAATTTGTATGGTTTGTACTCATCACATGAACAAATGTAAATTAGGACACAGCTGGCTAGATTATATACATAATATCTACGTATGCATATCCAATACAAATCTGGTTATATATCGTTTTATTAACAAGGAGAAGAACAATTTCGTGAAAAAAAATTCTACGTATTTCTAATGTAACCGTAGGTAAATTAACATTCAGTGATAGAAATCAACTTTTATTATTATTTAACAACTAATAATTCCGTATTGCTAAATTCATTTGCTGGGTTTCATTGGACCCACATTTATATTTGGGCTTTATTGGGCCGATATTCATTTTTTGGGCTAGGTCTTCTTTACATCTTTTTCGATTTTGGAAATATATATCCGCTTAATAAACACGCGAAGAGATTAATATAATTATAACCGATGAGTAAAAATAAATAAACGGAAGAACGTGAACTTCGACTTGTGCCGTCGAGTTGCAGAGACGAGAAGGGGAGGAAGATAACCATGGCGACCGGTGGTAAAGTATCCTTCAAGGTCACACTCACATCAGATCCCAAGCTTCCTTTCAAAGTGTATGTCCAATCATTCGATATCTACATTCGATTCCTCAGTTACTGATTCAAATCATTTTGTCTTCGTCGATTTGAAGTTTAAAAAAAAAAAAAATTGGGTCTTTTGTATTTCCTTTTTACTCATCGATTTTGATTTTTTCGATCGCAGGTTTAGCGTGCCAGAGGCGGCTCCGTTCACCGCGGTTCTGAAATTTGCGGCGGAGGAATTCAAGGTCCCTCCTCAGACCAGCGCCATAATCACCAACGGTATGCGTATTCATTTTCATTTTGAATTTGAATCTTTGTTCTCGTCAATCTGTAAATCATCGTTTTCAATTTGATATTTTTCTCGAGTGTGAAACGGTGTTTCGAATTTTGCATGAAAATTCTGCAGTTCCGTAGTTTGGTTAATCTCTGTCAAAGTGTAACTCATTACCCGGATTCTGAATTTGCCTTCTTCATCAACTGAATGGATATTCGATATTCGAGTGATTAGGATCTTTCACTTAGGTGAATGCAAAAGGTTGTCTGAGCATTGGATCGGGGAAAAACTTTGTCTTGTCTGATCATGGACATCAATTATATCCAATTTTTATTGTTGGCATGTCCTATTAGAAATGCCCGATTCATACCCGTTGTTTGTTGCTTGTGATTTAGGATCATGATTCTTCCTCCATCATCTGCTTTCAATCCTAGAATCTTCCTGGTTATGTGTGAGATGCTGCATAGATTTTCTACATCATCCTGTCTGTTTCGGGTTTCTGAGTTTTTTTTTGTATGCTACTCTTGCAGATGGTGTAGGAATCAATCCTCAGCAAAGTGCAGGTAGGTTACGGAACTCTACATTTGATCTGAATCTTGTGAATGTACATGTTTTATGTGTTTCCTCTTGTCTGAAGCTGCAAACTTTAACTAGTTTCATGTGAGGTGTTTATTATATGATTTTGTCCTTTGTGTTTGATGTAACAAGATCCAAGAATCCTTGGAAAGCTCAATCTTGATTCTCATCTTTTTCTTTTATGGTTTTTTTTGGTGATCTCAGGCAATGTCTTTCTGAAACACGGCTCCGAGCTCCGCCTCATTCCACGTGACCGAGTCGGAGCTGCCTGAATCATATGTGCTAGAGAGTTGTTGTAAGAGTTGAACTAAGACCAAACCTTTCTCCTTTGTTTATCCAATAAAACTTCGACCAAACCCTCAAACCTTTCTCATATGTTTCAGTGTTTTCTTACATGTTTCAATGTAGCTGCTACACATGTGAATCTCATCTTGATGGAACATTAGTTGCAGACCATCATCACTTGCTAAATTCTAGGAATTTAGTCTCCAACCTCCATGCCCTCCTCTTATCCACAAAAACTCATATTGTAAGAGTGCACTTTAAGTACTAAGTATGATCTCTCTCTCTCTCTCTCTCTCTCTCCTACACACACACACACACAGAGAGAGAGAAGAGTATGTATACTGAAAGATCCATGATTGTAGAGAAATGAGTTGATGATAATTGGTCCATCAAACAAGGGCAAGACCATTCATTCAAGATGGTTGGTGACACACTAAGAGAGGGGTTAAAGAAGTGGACAGGTGCATTTAGGGCATGTGCCCTACATGACCATGCCACCGAAATTTCCTTCTTTCCCCTGAAATGTAAAGCCTTTTTCCTCTTCTTGCCCCACCGCCAAAAGAAAACTTCTAAAGACGATGATATTTTCAACTTCTGTTGATAAGATCAATTGGGTGAGGTTTTTACAGTCTGTAATGTGATTACTCTGTTTTGACTTTGGGGCACTCTTATATTATTTGTTTTTTAAATGGATGGATGCTTCTCTATCTTATGTTGTTTCTAGATGTGAGGTTGACCTTCATATGTTAAATGTGGATTTAATATTTTATGTGTATATATATATATATATATATATATATATATATATTCGTTCATCATGTTTTGCTCACATATGGGTTTGACCTGCAAAAGATTATAAAATTCGAGCTCATCTTAAAATTGATAATTGATAATTGATAATTGTTATTACTAACCGCCATTGTTCATATTTCAACGTGATTATGACCGTAACGTTTTTCTCAAAACCATTGTTTATGTTTTTTTTATAAGATTTGGCTCAATGGGGTTTGAACCCAGGTTGGGATGGTGAATCATTTGACATGGCACAAATGATGTTCTCTCATCCAAAGTTCAATTCTTTCAGATCACAAAATAAAAATACGAAATAAAAATATTTGGTGAAATTGTTTCATATAATATTCACGTTTGATTAATAAGAAGCTATTTTGTTATCTGTTATTTGATATATAAAAAACAGATAATAAATAATAGCCGCTCATGTTGGTTTCTATTATCACTTGGAGCAATGAACTTTGGTACTATACTATATATGCAATACGAACCCGAAGCAAATTAAGACATTTTTATGTTATAAAATAATAAATCAGGAAACGATTTATGGTTATCTTAAAACCGAAGCCAAATTTGAGCAACAAGCAAATTCAAATCGATATATATACAATTGGCAAGGAAATATATATAATTTTTATTATATATTGCATAAACATATATATATTATATAGTATGAAATTTCCCAAAACAAGTACAGTATCACGTGATCGATACATCATAATCCCTGCGATCACGCTCGATCAGACGAAAGCATACACACAAACACATGCATATTCATAATCCATCTGATATATTGAGACACCAACGTGCATGCATGGATGTTTGTACACCATTAAAACCATACAAATATATAACCTAATTAATTAAATAAATAGTAACAAGCGGGTTCGAAAATGTGTTCATGAGCTGAGCGTTGGATTAGCGTGCCCCTTATCACTATCCAGCTGTTCAGCCCTTAATTCCAGGAGTTGGAAGCGTGAACACATAATATGTATTTGTGACGTAAATACCCCTGCAATAGTCAACCTACGTTTTGCTGATTGCAGGGGTAATTGTGGAATTATAAGGTGGCTTTTCCTCTCCTGGTCAAAGCTTGGCCTATGTGGGATCCCCATGAAGAGAGGGAAGCGAGCTTCATGTCTCTCCTTGTTCTTATTCCTCTTCTTAGACAGCTATTTTTTTTTCCTGCTTTATATGAATCCATTCAAATAAATCATGGGCCCATGTGAATTTAATCAGCAATATTTTTAAATTATATAGCCTTCAATTCAAGTTTCTGAACTATATACATACATATATATATATATATTTTATTTAAGACTTACATTTTTAATATTTAAAAAAAAGTAAAATGAATTGCAATCTTATAAGCATTTCAAACTGATATTTTTCTGCTATTTTGTTGTTGTTGTTACATATCACTCCTAGTGTATATTTTTCATGGAAGAAGTAGAAATTTTTTCACATGATTTCATTTGTAAGGCATACAAGTTCATTATTTTTTTGTCTCTAAAAACACTATTCCCTACAGTTATTAATTATTTATATTTTTATATGGCTTAATTTCACATAATCACTCAAAAATATCCCATCTTTCCCTGCCAAACGATCAATCCTAAGAACCTTACACCATGATATTAGATGGAAAAACATTCCATTTTAATTACGAAATAGAAAAAAATAAACAAAACAATGCCTATTAATAGGAAAAAAAAGGACAGAGAAAATATTATATGTTGTAAAAGAAAATACATAAGAAAAGAGCAATATCTTGAGCTCCGTTAACTCTCCACCACTCTAAGAGCCCACTTTTCGTCACGAGTCGTAGTCACATAAATTACTTTTTTTTTTTTTTTTCTCTATGCTTACCGTCAATCCGCAAATCTATTTGGTTATATGTTATAAATCATGCGACTATTGATGTAATATATTTAGCAATTTCATTCACTTATCTGCCTTAATTATTTTTTTTCCTACAAAATTCTTTTGATTGGAATGAGACAGACAGAAATAAATTAATTATGACACTGTAATCATGTTTCATCTCTTTAAGAAACTCGTTGTCTGCTTCAGACCGAAAGAGAGCTCGGAAAGAGAAAAAGAGTTTTTAGTTAAGTACTAAGATTTTCTGCAGATCCATCTCCCTCAAGGTCTCAGAAAGGCATCCACGAGATCATTGCTGATACATTACCCTTTTGCAAGATCATCGACAAAGACCCGATCTTTCTCGCTATTTGTTTTTTGGGTGGGGTTTGGACTGATGAAGAGCAAGACCCATCACCAGCAGAACGGCAATGGCGGTGGAGGAAGCGAAAGTGGCTGTCGGAGTCCCCCCCCCCCCGCGCCCCCCGCCGTCAGCAGCGGCGGAGGACTCTGTTCAGGGCTTCGTCCTTTGCTCTCCGGCGGAACCTCCGGTACTTGCTTCTCCTTCCGATGATATACGCTTCTGGGCTTCTCATGTGTGTGGGACCCTTCTCGGGTCTTGTCGGGTGGCCTCCTGTTCCCGGGTCGGTTTATCGGAGCCCGGAGATTTTCCGGAAGCTCAGAGACGACATTTTTGCAGATAATTCTACCGCCATTGAGGTTCTTCTTCTGTTCTTAGCAAGATCATGTCTCTCTCCTTGGGTTTTTTTTCCTAGTAGATTCCTTTTGATTTCGTGTAAAGTTTGTTCCTTTTTTCCTCGGTAGTTGTCTTCTGTCTGGAAATACAAAAGAAGGCCGAAAATGCAGAAGCCTTGTCCGAATTCGACAGCTTCTTCACATCTTGGTCTGAGCAGAGGTAGACAGATTCGGTTCATCAATTTTCTCACACATTCCTTTTGCGTGTATATATCCATACATACATATATGTAATGTATGTGTGCATTGCATACACATAATGACAGATCAAGTTTCTGTCTTGTTTCTGGTTTTTCTTTTTAAATTCTGGACCACTGAGTTCTGTTGCTCTTTCAAATTCAGTCATAGGCTCTAATGTTTAAGCTTTGAACAGAAACAAGGAGGAAACTTTTGATAGATCGCCTGTGCTCTGTGATTTTGAATCATTGTTCAAAGCTTTAAACCAATGTTTGATGAAATTCTAGAGTCATATGGTCCTAATGGCTACTTGATCGTGGATGCAAATGGCGGCCTTAACCAACAACGTTCTGCGGTATTGCCTTATCGTCTCTGACACCCTTCTCTTCTTTACTTAAATACTTATCCATATACATTGTCAGAATATGTGATCTTGTTTTGTACAATGTTGTCAGATTTGCAATGCAGTGGCTGTTGCCGGACTTCTCAACGCAGTTTTAGTCATACCCCGGTTTGAATTTCACACCATTTGGAAGGATTCAAGGTCAGAAGTTACAGAAATACCGATACACTTTGATTCATTACCGAGTATTCTGCATTTAGATTCGGACTTAAAACTATGTGCTTGTGGCAGCTCTTTCGGAGATATCTATGATGAAGATCATTTCATAAGAACTCTCGAAGGCTATGTGAAAGTGGTGAGAGAGCTTCCGGACGAGATAATGGCTCGTTTCAGTTATAACTTAACGAGTATCCCGAATCTCCGTGTTGAAGCTTGGGCTTCTGCTAATCACTACATTGGGGAAATATATCCGGTTCTGAAGAAACATGGGTATGTTTCTACAAGGATGAAGT